GATAATCTTGTTTCTTGTGCCCAATATTGCATAATTCATTTGATAAACACGTTTAGATTGAATGGTAATTTATAATCAGTCACAAGAACGTCGAATCTGAATCACTTGAAAAAAACACGGGGGTGCTTAACTTTTTTCCAGGTGTATATTATAGATACTGCATCTGATGGTGATATGTACAGGTCAGCTATATGTCCATTGAATTTGTCATCTCTATTATGAAATTCATCTTAAAATGTATCATTCATGTAAAAACACTAAATTGTTTTCATTATTTATTTTGTATATGTTTGTTTATTAACGAAATATTTACTTAAAGTTGGCTGCAATATTCTGATTTATCTTTGTATTTCATGTACCTTTCAGTTAATAGAGCAAACAGCTTTATCTATAGTAACTAAGTAACTTAAGTAACTTAATTTCAAATGATCAACATTTAGAAAGTTTTATTAGTTGCTAAACGTGGATTTATTTCTTTAATGCTTTACAAGAATATCACTTCTAAATAGGGCATAGTTTTGATACAATATTTCTTGAGGCATTATTGAAAGACTGTATAAATGTTTTACTTACTTTAAATGATAGGTTTTTACTACTGTTTTACAGAGTATCACATTATTATTCTCTTCATCTACAGCTTTCAACCTGAATAATAAAAGCTGTAGAATGAATTCCATTCAGTCTTGGACTACTAGTGCCCTTCACTTTTTTTTCGAATTATGTTTTCATGTCGACAGTTTATAAGCTAATGATACTTACAACTTTTTTGTTCCTGTTCTTCTACCCACCCGTAGAACGACAGAACCTTGCTTAATTCGTTTGAAAGCTGCTATTGCCTCAGCATGAGACAGTCCTTGTAGTGGCTGTCCATTTATCATCAGAATTTCATCCCCTAAGGTAAAAAAATGTTTCAATCATACTTGGATTAGAATATTTTAGTTGATACCCAGAAATATGTTTTAACATTTGAATATAAGTTTGACCAAACATTATTCGTAAAACAAAAAGTCAAATTCAAAATAAACTTTATATATATATAATTTCTTTATTAATAATAAACTGTTTTTGCTTATCTATACTATAGTGTCTTACCTGACTTACACAACAAATTTGTCATTCTTAAAACAATATAAGTAGCACAGCCTCTTCACCAATCTTAGCTTACCCTTAAATAGCGTAAGAAGTTACAATTAATTATGAATGTTAAAGCAGCGGAAAAAAAAGGTTATTTATTAGTCTATTAACGCAGACAATAAAAAATGTTTTTGCTTGTTTCACTTCTCATGAAGACCTGGGTCCTGAAATAGATACTTCTGTGAATTTGTACAACAAAAATCTTGCCTTCTTTAAGCTGATCGGTTTCTGCAGCTTGACTGCATGGGAAAATAGTCTTTACGTAAATTCCCAGGGCTCCTTTAGGGGAGTCCGTACCCCCAACAATACTGAATCCCAAACTCTTCTTTCCTGAACCTTTTTCAAAGACAACTGTATAAAGAGAAAGTTGAGAAGACTTGGGTTTTCTTGGTAATGTATACAGTCCGTTGTCAGCCACCTAAGTTAAAGAAACATGTCATACTGATTACAATTATTTTGACTTACATTGGAAAAAACACTAAAAAATAAGCTGTGGAGATATAAATTATATCAGACTACAAGTTCCTTCTCGTCTTAGTTAATTTTTTCTTGTATAATAAGCACAGCGTGGTCATAAGTAAATAGACACCACCTTTCAGTCAATTTTTTCAGTCATATTCACATGAATTGATATATTTATAATTTAATTAATATCTAGTAGATCTTCCTTTC